ACAAAAATAATTAATGTAGAACTTGGTCCTAGAGACAACTGCTCTGCATGGTCAGATGCATTTTTATTCTCTTCCATTTTTCTAAAAAGCAAATTTATGAGTCAGGCCCGTGAAATAAGGAGCATCACTACCCACATAGTCCTACAGATGAGGAAAACTGAAACACAGAGAGCTTAAATGATCCACCCACTCTTGAGTGAGCAGCAGAGCTGGAGCTTTGGCTCTAGCAGTCGTTCAAAACAGTCCTTGCTATAGTGCCCAGTGCCCAACCTTTAGGGAAGGGCACCAGATGGTCGTCCAAGAGCCCAATCTTATGAAACAGAGAGCGTTAATAATCTGACCCTGCAGACTGCAGCTGGTTCCAGGGACGCCCTTTCCACCCCTCCTCTTCTCTTGACCTTGGTGAGTGGCAGGGAGAGGGATGAGGGCCACTGAGGACTTGGTGGAGCTCTGATCAGCTATTCTCTGAGTTTTGGTCTTGTCCCCGCAGCTTTACAGATGAGGAAATGGGCTGTGAGAGGTCAAGTGTTTTAGGGGATCCTTGGACAAAGATTGCCAAGCCTCAAAAAGTTAATCATTTGTTTTTTGAGCAATGGGAAGTGTGAGATTCAGCTCCAAGCAGTACGTGCCTTTCTTTCTCACCTGGGAGATGAAGGCATACACAGATCTTTCCCTGGCTATCTTCCAGTCTTACAGCCTGGGAAATTTGCTGTCTGAGCTAAATCTGAGACTCTACCCTGCCCAGCAGGGGCAGGCACAGAAGAGGTAGCCTGATGGCAGGGAGATATGTCTTCCCATCATTCCAGATAACAGACAGAGGGCTGGGCCGTAGCTTAGTAGCAGAGCATTCGCCTAGCGTTTATAAGGCCCTGGGCTTAATCCCCAGCAGCACAAAAGTAATGACAAAAAAAATAATATAACAAACAGAACTGACATCCACTGGCACTGAGTCCTTTTTCTCTTGGGGCTCCAAGACATGAGCTTCCTGTCATTTCTACCAAAAATAGGATAAAGTATCCAGGAAGAAGCTGAGAGCAGTGGTGCAAGCCAGTTGTTCCCAGATTGCTTGGGCCCAGGAGTTTGAGAGCAGCCTGGGCAATACAACGAGATCCTGAACCAATACAATAACAGCAAAATTTGCACTTTAAAAAGTATAAAGCAATGCCAGGTGCAGTGGTGCATGCCTGTAATCCCAGCTACTTGGGAGGCTGAGACAGAATTGTGAGTTCAAAGCCAGGCTCAGCAATGGCAGGGCACTAAGCAACTCAGTGAGACCCTGTCTCTAAATACAAAAATAGGGCTGGGGATGTGGTTCAGCGGTTGAGTGGCCCGGAGTTCAATCCTCAGTACCAAAAGCAAAAACAAAACAAACCCAAAAGTAGACAGCAAGAAAAACGCACATGGGCTGGGGTTGTGGCTCAGTGGTAGTGCACTTGCCTTGAATGTGTGAGGCACTGGGTTCAATTCTCAGCACCACATATAAATAAAGGTCCATCAACAACTTAAATAAATAAATTAATAAATTTAAAAAAAAGAAAAACAGGAAAACGCACACACAACCATGGAAAAGACAGATATTTAATGCCAGCTTGTGACGCTGCCCCACCCCCACCCCCACCCAAACTTGAAACTGCTGTAAATTCCCTCTTGAATGGTGAAGCCCCATTTTGCAGGCACTTTTCTTCCTGGCCATGTATTTCTAAGTCCACATCCTTTTCTCCATGAGGGAAGGTTCCTTCCTGGGCACCTGGCCCAGCGAGGCAAGAGTTTTCTGCCAGAGAGCCAGAACACTTGCCAGAGAGCCCAGCTCGACTCAGGTCTCTTCTACTTCTCCCTCCTGTCTTATCCAGGTGCTGCCCCCACATCCCATGGGTTGTCTTGGGTGCTTTCCTGAAGGACATATGGTCCCATGTGGGGTGTGGCCAGAAGGTCCCCTTCCACCAGGATGCTCTCAACAGGCAATGGCATTCAACTGGTTGAGCAAATTTCTGACAAGTGTACCAACTGGGCTTTTGTAAATGGCATCAGCTACCCCAGGGGAGCTCTGACCTTTCAGGAATGTTTCATTTCAACACATTTCTTTGGTTTCTCTGGACCTTTTCCTAAGCCGTCTGCTTAGAAGGAGCAGAGCCACCACTGGCAAGCCTGGAAGGTAACCAGAGCCCAGAAAGGGGACTCCTCAGTCACACAGCCAGCAATCACAGCATGCTCCTGTGTGAGGGGGAATGACGGGTGGCCTACAGGGAGGGGGAGCTGGGAAGCCAATGCTGGCTCCTTTCCCTTGGGGGTAGCAAGGACAAGGAGCCAGCCCTGGCTAGAGCTTGGCCTAGGGCTCAGGGCTCAGTCCCTCACTTCCCAGCTGCACAACCTTAGAGAAGTCCCTTGACCTTCCTGAGCCATCAGTAAGGTAGGGCAAGTAATTCCCACCCTGGTAGACCTGGGAGGGGTCCAGAGCCAGGATTATGTATGAAATGGCTTTATAAAGGTCAGAGCAGGGACCTTTATAAAACCCTTAGTGAGGATAAGCAGGCTGTGGACAGGGATGGACAGCCCTATCTCCCCCACAGGCGCCAAGAGCGACAGCGCTTTGCTGAGTACCAGGCGGAGTTGCAGGGCATCCAACACAGGGTGCAGGCCCGGCCCTTCCTATTCCAGCAGGCCATGCAGGTGAGGGCCAGCACCTGTCAAAGCCAATAGCCACCAGGGAGCGTGGAGCCAGCTGAGTGGGCAGGGTAGCCAGGTGGAAGCAGGGCACTCAGGTGGGGTCCCTGTGTTGCTGCCTCCAGGGAAACCCAAGACACCCCCACCCCCAGTCATCAATGCTCCACGGTGGCCTCTGCAGCCCTGATGCAGAGAAGGAAACCCCTTCTTTCCTCAGACCAACGCCAGGCTCACTGTGGCCCGGCGCTTCTCCCAGGTGCTGTCAGCGCTAGGAGTGAACGAGGAGGAGCTGGTGGCTGAGACACATAAAAGGGACACAGTGGGAACTTCCAGGAAACCCAGGTGAGGTAATCTGGATAGCCAAAGACTGGATCTACAGAACTACTGTAGGACAAGGAACCAAGAACAGACTTTGAGCCCTACAGGGTTTCCCTCATGTCACTTGGGAAGGCAGGGACCAGGGTTATTATTCCTGCTTTCAGTGAAGACAGAGGGGCAGGGCCTTGCTTAAGGACATAGGAGTGAATAAGCAGCCAAACCAGTCTGGGACTCTGCAGCTTTCTGAGCAGCTGCACACCAAACCCCAGTAGGGGCTAGTGCCACGCTGGTCATCCCATACATACTGTCCCTTACACCTTAGAGTAACCCGGTATAGAGCAGGGATCATGAGGCCCACTTTGCAGTAAAGAAAATTGGACTCAAGAAGGGGGAGTCACTTGCCCAGGGTCATTCAGCATGCTAGCATAGGTGCAGGATTTGAAGCCACTGGGTCAGTGGTTTCCTGGGCATGGAGTGGAGGCTGTGGAGCCCAATGGCCTTTATCTGTGTCTTTAAGGAGCCACAGGTCAATGGGGGTGAAAATGGAGCCCTCTTCTCGGAGCCCCCCAAAGACAGAACCCACTGGCAGCCAGCCTGACAGGCACTTTTCCGCCAGCCTGGACTGAGGGCTGTCCCCAAGATGAAAATTAAAGGCTTTATGGCAAATACAGTGTGGGATTTCTGGCGGGGGGAGGGTGAGACTTTGGGCGGGGAATAAGTGATGAATGGGTGGGGCAGCAGGCCTCACTTTCTCCACATCCCCCAGGAGCTCTGACTGTTCTTGCCGTCTCCACCCTGCACACACAGCCCTGCCTCTCCTTCTGAGTGGTACATCTCAAAAAGCAACAGCTGAGACTTCTCCAAGCAGTCAAATTCAAAAGGGAAAAGAACGTGGGCATGGTGGCTCATGCCTGTAATCCTAGCAGCCAGGGAGGCTGAGGCAGGAGGATTGCAGAGTTCAAAGCAGCCCCGGGAACTCAGTGAGACCCTGTCTCGAAATATAATATTTTTTAAAAAAGGGCTGGGGATGTGGCTCAGTGGTTAAGGGCCCCTGGATCCTGGTACCCGCCCCCCCAAAAAAGGGGGGTGTTGAAAAGATTCCTGTATTTGAGTACTCCCATGGGGTGGGGGTGGGGCTTTAAAGGGGAACTCATGACATATCCTAACATCTGAAATGGGTCACACAGGGAGTCCACAAAGGGAGCAACCTGTGTTTGTGTGTGTGTGGGGGGTGTTGTGTGAACCGGGCTTTTGAGTCCCGGTAATTTTAAATTAAAATCCTTCTCAAGTTTTAAAAAAGAAAGAAATATAAGTGCACACAAATGTGTCCACTTTTGTATTCAATTTCACAGGGTTTACAGGCGCACAGAAGCTCCTAGAACACCTGAGCAATTTAGAGCAGGTTAAAAAAAAAAATCCAGAGAACGCGAGGGCAGGATGCTCACAATACTGGTTATGAGAGTTCCCAGTTGGGGCCTCAGAGAAGAGGAAAACATTCTGCACCATCTAACACCCCAAGAAGCCCACTAGAAGGGCGCCCACTAGTGAGGAGGGAGCAGCCTGCAGCTGGGGGAATGAGAGCAGAGCTCAGGAAAAGGCTTCCAGTTCGGGGGATGCTGATTTCAAAAGCATCCAGTTCCTTACAGCTCTGCGATTCGGCCTTCTGGAGGAGAGGCTAAGCCCGAGCCGAGTCGTGCATGCGCACAGACCGCCACCGCACCGAGGCGGCCTCCAGTGCGTTATCCGACCCTGTTTCGGGCCTTCCCGTGAGCCTTTGGGGCCGACTCTCGTGCGAACGCCGGAAGCAGCCATTCTTGGTTTCCGGCAATAGGACGGCGGCGGCCTTGCGACCCGGAAGTGTTCCCATTTTGCGTCGTCGGGGCTCTGCGGCTACCCGGCTCCAGGCGTACGTACCACTATGGGGTCTTCAAAGAAGCACCGCGGAGAGAAAGAGGCGGCCGGGAGCACGGCGGCGGCCGGCACTGGGGGGACCACCGAGCAGCCGCCGCGGCATCGGGAGCACAAGAAACACAAGCACCGGAGTGGCGGTGGCGGCAGCAGCGGCGGTGAACGACGGAAGCGGAGCCGGGAACGTGGGGGCGAGCGCGGGAGCGGGCGGCGCGGGGCCGAAGCCGAAGCCCGCAGCAGCGCGCACGGGCGGGAGCGCAGCCAGGCCGAGCCCTCCGAGCGGCGCGTGAAGCGGGAGAAGCGCGATGATGGCTACGAGGCCGGTGAGGGCGGGGCTTGCGCGGGGGGCGGGGCGGGGCTCGGGCGCCTGCTTGAAGCTCGCCCGGGGCGCTTTTCACCTGCACTTGTTAAAGGGTGTTGGGATTAAAGGTTGATCCCCTGCACTGAGCCCCGTGAAGACGAACGTCTTCTGTTTTCCTCAGTTGTCTTGCATGACAGGCCTTCAAATAAATGTGTGGGGGGAATAAATGAACGACTGGATGAAGTGGTATCAGTGTGTCCTGAAGCCAGAGAAAACCTGGTGTTGGGAAAATCGCGTAGAGATCTGAGGCAGTAAGGTGGGCGGGGTCTAAATACGGAAGGACCCTGTGTGCATTATGCTCTGCTCTGCTCTGCTCACGGTAGGGAGCCTAAGATTTGAGTTAGGGAATGGGTCAGATTCATGTTTGTGAAGCCCACCGCATTGAGAACTTGTTCAAAGACAGGACTGGAGGCCCAGGAGTCAGGAGTGCTATAAACCCACCAGTGAGGGCTGATTGTGGTCTAAACCAATAATTTTGCTAGGTGGAGTGATTAGTAATGTTAGACTCCACAGGGATCAAGCAAAACCAGAACTGAAGAAGGAGGCTGGTGACCTTGGAGAGGCTGGGATCCAGGGCCATGTAGAGAGAAAGAGAACTTGGGTACTTAAGAGGAGGTAGGCTATGGGGATAGGGATTCAGGAAAAGATTTGCTCCTAATGGCAGGATGCTCTATCCAGTGGTGTCCAGCTTCTCTACATAGTGTTCAGTGAAGTTCTTTGCTGTTGTGAGGTGGACCAGGGAGGTCCAACATGCTAAGTTATCAGTGTCCTGAACATGTCACATAGAAGAGTCACCAATGTTTCTCAACTGCATGAATTGCATAGAGAACACGGTCATGCTGCAGACAGCCCCTGCTGTGTGGGGAGAAACAGACCTAGCAATGATGGACTGTGCCAGAGTTCATGGCAGAATGGTTAATTCTGATTAACAATTGAATGGGGCTTCATGAAGGAGGTGGTGTTCTGATCTTTGCATTTGGATAGGATTTTTTGTCAATGAGGGCAAGTCCAGATTAGATTGTTAGATTAGACAGTTTAGATTGAAGATTCAGAATATTCAGAAGTGGAGAGGGCAAAGTGAGGGGTACAGAAATTTGGACCTCTTGGGTCAGGAAAGGAGGATGCATAGAAGAGAGAGAGAGATCTGTCAATGGAAACTTGTGTAGAGGAGCTGTTAGGGAGCCCAGAGAGGAAGAAGTTGCTGTTGTCTGGTGTTCAGCAGGCCCAGGTGCTGGGGAGGGGCCCTCATTTTTGACCCTGCAGCTGGAGCTGATGATGCTAGCTTCTTGGTCCTGTGTTCAGCCCCTGCCATGCCTCTTGTTGTTTCAGCTGCCAGCTCCAAAACTAGCTCAGGAGATGCCTCATCGCTTAGCATTGAGGAGACCAAGTGAGTACTATTTCCCTTGAGCTTCTGCTTTCTTCTTCTGGGGCAGCCATATTGGATGACATTCTCACACTAAAGTGGGCCAGGTGGAGTTGGAAGGGTTGTATGAATTGTCTTAGCTAAGCGTTTGAGTTATAGAGGGAGGAATTAAGACGCAGGAAAAAGGTTGGGGACAAGCCAAGACCAGCACCCATATTCACTGGTTGGGGACAAGCCAAGACCAGCACCCATATTCCCTGGTAGGGAGACCAGTGCCATTTCTACTATCCAGGGCTGCCCAGGTTAGGGTCTATGTTTAGGATAGGGTTACTCATTCCCACCCTAATTTTTACCTCCTATTTGTCCAAAAATGCATGTGGTGCCCCATTTCTTGTGGGTGTTGTTTGTTTTTGTGGTGTTGGGGTGGAACCCAGAGTATCATGCGTATCAGTCAAGTGTTCTTCCACTGATCTAAATCTCCAACCTGACACCTCATTTATTTGGCAGCCCCTAACACTTATGTCTCTTGTCCTTAGTAAACTCCGGGCGAAGTTGGGGCTGAAACCCTTGGAGGTCAATGCCGTCAAGAAAGGTAAGTTTAGGGCTGAGGATGGGGTCAGGGGAGGTACAGTGACCATCTGTAAGGGTCTGTGAAGAAAATGGTGTTAGAGTGCAGAGGCAGCAGCACTCAGTGGTTGTGTGGGTGTATCTGCCAGAGAGCATAAGGCCTCTCCTTACTGTAGTGGGGATCTGGTGTGTGGCTTGCTCTGGTTCACCATGGCATCCTCACTCTGGCTGGAAGGTGCTCTTAGTCGGGCTGAGACTTGCACAGTTGCTGCAAACTGACTGGACTGCGTGAGATTGGTTTTTTAATTAAAATAGAACAACATTTATTTGAGGAGGTTTGGAAAGCGTAGAGGGTCCTGTCGTTCTGTGTGGGGGACACAGGAATATGGGGATGGAGCGGGGGCAGGGAGGTGAAGGGTTCTTCCCCTTTCCCTGGCTCCTTCTGGCCCTCTGAGCTGGAAGGGGGCAGGGTGAGTGGCTCCCTCCTCTCCCCACCAGCCATGGGCAGGCATAGCCTCACGTCTGGGCCCCCCTTCCAGAGGCGGGCACCAAGGAGGAGCCCGTGGCGGCTGATGTCATCAACCCCATGGCCATACGACAGCGAGAAGAGCTCCGGGAGAAGCTAGCAGCTGCCAAGGAAAAGCGCCTACTGAATCAAAAGTTGGGGTGAGGGGTCCCAGCCAGGGACAGGCAGAGGAGGCTGCTGTTCTTGCTGCTTCATGGGTTGGGGTTGGGGAGCAGGTGGTGAGCTCCCCCAATCCTCACTCCCTTCCCTCCTCAGGAAGATAAAGACACTGGGGGAAGATGACCCCTGGCTGGATGATACTGCAGCCTGGATCGAGAGGAGTCGACAGCTGCAGAAGGAGAAGGATTTGGCAGAGAAGAGGGTGAGCAGCAGGGCAGCTGGGGTGGTTGCTAGGGGCCTCTGGGGGCTGCCAGGTGAGGCTGGAGCCTGGCCCTTGAGAGGTGAGATGGCTCAGAGAGGAGGGGGGCTCATGGTCGGGCCATGAATTATCTGCAGCTTGCCTGCGAGGCCTTCCCTTTTTGTGCTTCCTCTTGTTAGAGACCTGGGTGTTTGCTGGTGATGCTGAATGGCCCGAGGTCACAGGCCACCCCTCTCTGTCCCATAGGCGAAACTGCTGGAGGAGATGGACCAAGAGTTTGGTGTCAGCACTCTGGTGGAGGAGGAGTTTGGGCAGAGGCGACAGGTAAGGCTGCAGCAGCTGGGGAGGGCAGGATGGGGGTGCTGCCACCTTGGTGCTGGGATCTCAGGGCTGGGTGAGTTACAGCTCCTGACTCAGCTGGATCTTCCTCCTTAGGACCTGTACAGTGCTCGGGACCTGCAGGGCCTCACTGTGGAACATGCCATTGATTCCTTCCGAGAAGGGGAGACTGTGATCCTTACCCTCAAGGACAAAGGTGAGCGAGCTGGGTGTTCTGGAGGAGGTCCTAGACACTGCTGAGCCAAGGGCAAGGGTAGGTGGTCACTACCTCTGCCCTGTCAGGTGTGCTGCAGGAAGAGGAGGATGTGCTGGTGAACGTGAACCTGGTCGATAAGGAGCGGGCAGAGAAGAACGTAGAGCTGCGTAAGAAGAAGCCTGACTACCTGCCCTACGCCGAGGACGAGAGTGTGGATGACCTGGCACAGGCATGCCAGCAGGGTGGTGAACGGGGCAGGGCCTGGGCTGCTGAGGAGATGGGCTTCATGGCTTGTAAGGAGCCACCCTGGGTCCCAATCTGTACCTCTTGCCCTACAGCAAAAACCTCGCTCTATCCTGGCCAAGTATGACGAGGAGCTGGAAGGTGAGCGGCCACACTCCTTTCGTCTGGAGCAAGGCGGCACCGCCGATGGTGTGCGGGAGCGGGAGCTGGAAGAGATCAGGGCCAAGCTGCGGCTGCAGGCTCAGTCCCTGAGCTCTGTGGGGCCCCGCGTGGCCTCAGAGTACCTGACACCTGAGGAGATGGTGAGCGCCTCTGTGCATCATACTGGAGTGCAGATTATTTGTGCCCCTTGGGCTGCGGGCTGCCAGTTTGCACTCGGGGAGGTTGAGCATTGGCACAGGGCTAGGTTCCTAGGTGGTTTGTAAATGGCTGCCCGAGGGAGGAGCTGGGTGTTGATGAACAGAGACTGTTGAGCCAGATGGATCCAAGCTTGTGTTCCGGCTCTGCAATGCAGCCAGCTTGTGTCTTGGGTGAGTCATTTAACTGAGCCTGAGGTGCCCATCTGGAGTGGCAATGACAGCAGCCAACTCATGAGGCTGTGTGCAGATGATAATTTTAGAGGCTCACATGGATTTTGGGCTCAGAGGGACTGTGAACAGAGGCAAACAACAGGTGTGGTTGGTGTCTTGGCTAAAGGGGAAAGAGTCTTGGAGCCACACTACGAAGGCTTCCAGGCCTGGCTGTCCCACTTAGGAGGTGGGCAACTTTGGGCAGGGTATGTACCCTCTCTGACCTCATTTCTCTCATCTCACAGTAGAGTGCTAATAGCACCCACTTCACATGTGTATATGGGAAGTGCTGGGGACAGTGCTTGGCACAGAATAACACTAAAGAAGTGGTCACTGAACTGGGCGTGGTGGCACATACCTGTAATCCAGCAACTCATAAGGCTAAGACAGGAGCATGTCAAGTTCAAGGCCAGCCTTAGCCACTTAGTGAGATCCTATTAAAACGTAAAAAGAGGGGTTGGGGTTGTGGCTCAGTGGTAGTACACTTGCCTAGCATGCGTGAGGCACTGGGTTCGATTCTCAGCACCACATACAAATAAGTGGAAATAAAAGTCCATCAACAATTTAAAAAATATTAAAGAAAAAACACAAAACGTGGGGCTGGGGATGTGGCTCAAGCGGTAGCGTGCTCGCCTGGCATGCGTGCAGCCCGGGTTCGATCCTCAGCACCACATACAAAGATGTTGTGTCCGCTGAAAACTAAAAAATAAATATTAAGGGCTGGGGATATGGCTCAAGCGGTAGTGCGCTCGCCTAGCATGCATGCGGCCCCGATTCGATCCTCAGCACCACATACAGAAAAAGATGCTGTGTCCGCCAAGAACTAAGAAAAAATAAATAAATATTAAAATTCTCTCTCTCTCTCTCTCTCACTCTCTCTTTAAAAAAAAAAAAAATTTAAAAAAATTCTCTCATCTCTCTCTCTCAAAAAAAAAAACATAAAAAGAACTGGGGGTGTGGCTCATAGACAGAGCACCCTGTGTAGTCCCAGGTACAACTGAAAGACAGAAAATGGTAGCCGTTATCAAGGTCATGGAGGCCTGCCTTCCACATCTCTCATCTCTCCTCAGGTGACCTTTAAAAAGACCAAGCGGAGGGTGAAGAAAATCCGCAAGAAGGAGAAGGAAGTGATAGTGCGGGCGGACGACTTGCTGCCTCTTGGAGACCAGACTCAAGACGGGGACTTTGGTTCCAGGTGGGTGTGACTGCAAAGGGGGTGTGAGGCTGGGTTGGCCTGGGCTGGGGCTCACTAGAGGGCCCTCCTCCTCCCAGACTACGGGGCCGGGGTCGGCGCCGAGTGCCTGAAGTGGAGGAGGCGGCAGCCCCAGAGGATGAGGAGAAGGAGCCTGTGCCCCAGCCCCCGCCGTCAGATGACACCCGTGTGGAGAACATGGACATCAGTGACGATGGTGAGGGGCTGGTCAGCAGCAGGTGGGGATGGGTTGGGGACCAAGGAAGTGATATGAACAGGTGTCCTCCATCTCTTCACCAGAGGATGGAGGAGCTCTGCCGTCAGGGTCTCCAGAGGTGCTGGAAGAGGACGAGGCGGAGCTGGAGCTGCAGAAGCAGCTGGAGAAGGGGCGTCGGCTGCGGCAGCTACAGCAGCTGCGGGACAGCGGGGAGAAGGTGAGGCCAGTGCCAGTATGACTGCGACAGCCTGTGCCTGTGAGCACCCACATTTGAGTCAGCACAGGCGGCACTGCATCCCACCAGGAGTCTCCTTGGTGCAGAGCCGGGTCCTGAGCGAGTTTCTGGCCTTGGTGGGGGCTCCCTGCATCTGCTTTCCTTTGCCCACTCTTGGGCACTTGTTATGGGTGGGGCTCTGTTCTCAAGCCTAGGCATCCTTGGCAAGCAGGACAGTCCCAGGGCCCTGTTAGTGTGCTGGGGACAGCGGTGACCTTGTGAGCGGAGAGGCAGGCAGTAGTTTCTGATAGTGACGAGAGCTGTGCAGAGTAAAACAAGATAGCGTGAGGTCAGTGCTCAGAGAGGGCCTATCAGAGGCATCTGAGCTGAGGCCTAGGTAACACAAAGAGATTGAGGGGTGGAGGCTGTGGGACAGCAGATGTCTTCAGAAGTGACCCTGGAGTGCCTGAGGCCTGTAGGCTGGGGTAGGGAGCGAGCAAGCAGATAGATGGAGAGCCGAGGTGAGAGGTCAGCGGGGTCAGTTTGTATGAGGCCTAGAGGCCGTAGCCTTCCTAGCCTTTCAGGGCAGTTACATGAGGCGGGCCAGGCAGAAGTAGACATGGTGACAGAATCTCTCAGGAGCTTACTTTCTTGCAGGGGGCTGCAGGGTCAAGGGAGAAGTGAGTCCTTGAAAGGGGAATTGATTAGGTGAGGTGTGGGTGGCAGGAGGGACCCTGGAGTGGAGACCAGTTGGAAGGTCCAGTGTGAGCTGTGGGAATGGCTTGCTTATTGTACCCAGGGAGAATTGGAGGGTCCCGGGTCTCAGTGGCATCACCCCAGAAACTTCTGGGTCTGCCCACAGCTGCTCCCTCCCCCAGGTGGTGGAGATTGTGAAGAAGTTGGAGTCTCGCCAGCGAGGCTGGGAGGAGGAGGAGGATCCTGAGCGAAAGGGGGCCATCGTGTTCAACGCCACCTCCGAGTTCTGCCGCACCCTAGGGGAAATCCCCACCTATGGTCTGGCTGGCAACCGGGAGGAGCAGGAGGAACTCATGGTGGGTCCCATGGTCCCCTCTTCTTGGCTGGCCAGCTCTGCTCTCAGCCACAGGCCTAGTGCTCAGGGAGGGAGTGGGCAGCCCAGGCTGACCCTAATTTCACACCCCAGGACTTTGAACGGGACGAGGAGCGCTCTGCCAATGGAGGCTCGGAATCGGATGGGGAGGAGAACATCGGCTGGAGCACCGTCAACCTGGATGAGGAGAAGCAGCAGCAGGACGTGAGGATGGGTGTGGGCGGGGGTGTCCCTTGTGCCCCAGAACCCCCACCTCGTCCCTAGAGTGGCTCTGAGGCCCAAAGGCTGGCTGGGGTTGGGAGGCTGTCCACAGGGTTCTTGCCTGGTGGGGAGTGACGGGGCCAAGTGGGTGGGAGGAGCCTGTGTGGCTCGCTTATGCCCCACGTGTCCTCCCTAGTTCTCTGCCTCCTCCACCACCATCCTGGATGAGGAACCCATCGTGAACAGAGGGCTGGCTGCTGCCCTGCTGCTCTGCCAGAACAAAGGTGCGGGCTGGGTGCCGTGGTGGGGAGGCAGGGTGCTGCCTGTGGGTGAGGCAGGTGCAGTGCATGCCTCTGTCCCCCTCTGCTGCTTTTTCCTCAGCCCCAGTGCCATGAACATGGGGCCTTGAATCACTTTAGTTCTGGGCATTTGGTGGCAGCACCTGTCCTTCTGCTGTGCTGTCAGGACTCCGTGTCTCCTCAGGAAGGAGTGAGGCGAGACTGGGGTTAGGTCCCAGCTCTGCCATTTCCTGGGTAAAGGTCTTTGCCTGTGTGTGCTGTGGGCATACTCAGCAGGGCGGAGGCTCTCTAGCACCCACATGCTGGGGCTGCTTCAGGCTGCCTCGGAGCTGGGCTTGTCAAGGGTGTGGGCAGTCTGGAGTCTCATAGCCTCTCTATCCCCAGGGCTGCTGGAGACCACAGTGCAGAAGGTAGCCCGGGTGAAGGCCCCCAACAAGTCCCTTCCCTCAGCTGTGTATTGCATCGAGGACAAGATGTAAGTGGGCACGCAGGGGTGCAGGCCTTCCCGGAAACAGGGAGTGGGTGGCCAGTGGTTCATACTGAGCCCCTTTATCTTGCTTCAGGGCCATCGATGACAAGTACAGCCGGCGGGAGGAGTACCGAGGCTTCACCCAGGACTTCAAGGAGAAGGACGGCTACAAGCCTGATGTTAAGATCGAGTATGTGGATGAGACGGGCCGGAAACTCACACCCAAGGAGGTACGTGCAGGCCCCTTTGCAGATAGACCAGGCCAGTGGTGACTGGGTCAGGGAAAGGCCAGAGCCCACTGAGGGGCCTGTCTTGCTGCCTCTGACTGGGGTCCTGGTGAGGTGGTAGAGTGACCTGGTGAGATAGGTTTCTGGCTCTTGTGGGCAAGAGTCAGCAATCCCCTCCCACCTGGCACGGGGGTCAGACAGGCACCTCTGTACCTCTTGCCTGCCTACTGCAGCCAAAGCCCCCAGCCCGAGGGCCACCATCCTTGAGGGCGTGTCCAGGCTTCTACTGTGGCAATCCACCCCACACTCACTGCGTCCAGCCCTAGTCCCGAATGGCAGGTCTCACGCCAGGTCCCCTGTCATGCCGGAGTCTGTGCCCTCTCCCCCTCCCTGCTGCCAGGCCTAGCCCTGGAGTGTATGAATCAGCATGCCCTCACCCTGTTGGGAAGCTTCTCCCAGGTACAGGTGGCCCTGGCCTCACCTGTAGTCCCTGCAGCTCCTGGCCCATGCCCTGTGTCCCCAGGCTTTCCGGCAGCTGTCCCACCGCTTCCATGGGAAAGGCTCAGGCAAGATGAAGACAGAACGACGGATGAAGAAGCTGGATGAGGAGGCGGTGGGTGCCCAGGGACGTGCTGCATTTGTGGGTGCTGGTGGTGATATGCTGGGCCTCTTTCTGCCCCCGTGCTAACTGGCCCCTTCCCACAGCTCCTGAAGAAGATGAGCTCCAGTGACACGCCCCTGGGCACCGTGGCTTTGCTCCAGGAGAAGCAGAAGGCCCAGAAGACCCCATACATTGTGCTCAGTGGCAGCGGCAAGAGCATGAACGCGTGAGTGGGAGGTGCATGGGGAGGGGGTGGGGGGACTGCGCCCACTTCCCTGGAGCCTTACACCCCTCTTCTCCCTGCAGGAACACCATCACCAAGTGAAGCTGGCCTCCCCCAAAGCCCCTCCCCAACTTTAATGTTAAATAAAGTTCCCTCCTTATTTTTTCCTCCCTGGTCGTGGTGCAGAGTCCAGGGTTATGCCCAGGAGGAGGGGTAGGTGGTACTCTCAGGCAGCCTGGGCCTCTTGTTCCCCATCAGCTGTGTAACTCAGGCAAGTGGCTGAACCTCTCTGAGCCTCAGTTCTGCCTTTTGTAAGTCAAAATAGCTCTGCTTCATAGGATTTCATGTGCAGATTCAGTGAGTTCATTCATTCACTCATTCCCTTGGAATTTGGGCATGAACAAGATAGGACAGATCCCTGAACACGTGAGACTCAGAGTCTTCTCTCTCTGCGAGTTGACACCCAGTCATCAGATGGCACAACTAACTGAACAGAGATAACAGAGAACAACTAGTCTGGATCCTTGAAGATGATCCTTTACCTGCTTTGGCCCCAGCCAGCTAGGGAAACCAGTGTGTACCCTGTCCTCTCCACCTGTTGGTGGCACAGGTCCTGCTGTGGAGATGCCCTCATGCCTTCTTGGTGGACACTTCCTGATATGACATGGAAGGTGTTTTAGAGTCTTGGTTCCCCTGGCATCTCCAGGGCTGCTTGAGCCATTGCCCTGTAATCTCCCCAGTTAGACAGTTTGCAGGGTGGCCCAGGCCTGCCCAGCCCAGTGGGATAGGGATTGAGTTCTGTACATGGTGGAGGGGCCACCACCTGTGTCCGCCCTCCTTGGCTGCCTCAGTCTGTGAAGGTGAGGGCCATCCCAGCTGCACCTTGTCCAGGGCCAGGTCAGCTGAGCCAAGGCACTTGAAGACTTGTACGGCACAGCTGCACCAGGAGAGGTAGGGCTTCTGCTGGGAATGAGCTCTTGGGGCAGCATGAGCCATCAACAAGATACTTGAGAGCCCAGCATATGTGGACAGTGACCTAGCTGCTACCTCAGGCATCAAAGAAAGTGGGTGACCTGCTCCCTATCCCCCAGATACATTCCAGATGGGTCACAGATTTTAAAATAAAAGAATGAAACCAAAAAATAAATTGAAGGAAATGGTGAACTTGGAGTGGGAGAATGTAAGGGACAAAACCCAGTTGCCTTAAAATAAACTATTAGTGTTGGACAATGTGATTTCTGTGTTGTAAAGACCACAAAGCAGGCAGGCCACTTTTTTCACTCTGCTGAACTTATTCTGATTTACTTTTCCCTTTGGCTGTGCCCTCAAGGTAGGTGCCTGCAGGGTGCACTTGGTAGGTCTAGGACTGGGGAGTCAGTCCTTTCTCTCAAAACTGCATGCGGTGCTTCCAGTGTTGGGACTGACAGTCTGGTGCGTCTGGCTGGCTTTGAAGCTCGTGCCTTATTTGCAGGAAATGGACCAATAGGCTGCTTTATCCCAGGCCTGGTCTAGAGCCAAGATGGCTCCAGAGTAGAACTTTCTGGCTCTATCCGTGGCCACTGGGCAGATTAAATGGCAAGTCAGGGAACAGAAGGGCTCCCCAAGACACCTGAGGGGCTCCAAGCTGGTGCAGTCTGCTTGCTTCCTCTCTGCATCCTGTGGCTCTCAGTTCTCCGGGTTCTCAGGCTGAGGACTTACTCTTTTGTTACGTATTCTAGCCTACTCCCTAGGCTGTGCCCAGCCCAGGTGCCCCAATAGGAGGGGCTACCAAGTGCCCTAGAGGCCTGCGCACCCAGGACAGGTAGGACCCAGCTTTGCTGCTCAGCAGTTGGGCAAGGCCAGCAGTGCTTCCCCTGACCCTCAGGCTCCTGGGCCCAGTGATACTGGAGTGCCAGCCTCAGGGACGATGGTCCCTCGGGCAGGGATGCCAGGTGAGCCCAGCAGGCACTGATGTCTGATGTCTTTTCCATTTACTACAGTTTGTCCTTGGGCAAGTTACTCAGTCTCTGTAAAATGGAGTCCATGAGCGCAGATTTCTAGGGCTGGTGAAAGGCATGGTTGAGAAATCCATCTCTTAACTTAAACAAACATTGGCTGCCGGCCTGCATAACCAGAGGAGCCAAACTAAGGCTTCCAGGGTGCGTGGGGCTAAGGCCCAAGGGATAGGTAACCCTTTAACAGGGCATGACCAGATGGGGTGGGAGGAAACAGCTCCTGCCTCCCCCATGGTACCTCACAGAAGGCAGGAAGTTGGGGGGGCTCAGCCACACCACATAACACCCCTCTGTTCTCGTGAGCCATCTGGGCATGGCGAGGGGAACCCCAGTACAGGCTGGCTGTCCAACACTGGTGTGGCCTTTGTTCTGAGTGAGAGCAGGCCTTGTCCACTTTGCTCTGAGATCCTGCTCCTGCCAGGCTGAACCTACATCCTGCCCAGGTGCCCCAGATCTCCTTAAAGCCCCAAAGCTGTATTCCAGCTCCATTGGTCAGCTGTGTCCCATTCTGTATTCCCTTCTGGTTAAGAGAGATTTTTTTAGTCAGCTTTTTTTACTGCTGTGACCAAAATACCTGACAATTTTAGGAGGAAAACTAAAGTGGCAGAAAAGTGTGGTAGAGGAAAGTGGCCAGGATGTGGTCACCATGAAGCAGAGGACTTACTCTTTTGTTACGTATTCTAGCCTACTCCCTAGGCTGTGCCCAGCCCAGGTGCCCCAATAGGAGGGGCTACCAAGTGCCCTAGAGGCCTGCGCACCCAGGACAGGTAGGACCCAGCTTTGCTGCTCAGCAGTTGGGCAAGGCCAGCAGTGCTTCCCCTCACCACAGACAAAATGTATATCCCAAAGGCACACCCCCAGTGATCCACCTCCTCTAGTCACACCCTACCTGCCTACAATTAGTACCCAGTTAATCCTTATCAGACTGATTAGTTTAAGGCTCTCACAACCCAATCAGTTCACCTCTAATCTTTCTTGCATTGTCTTACACATGAGCTTTTGGAGGGACACCTCATAGCTAAAACCATTACAGATACTTAAAATATATAAACAGATGAATGTAATGCTAACTGGGACTTACTATATAATCACTCCAGCATAAATAAATAAGAAATATATGGAGGGGCAGGGATATTAGGCAAGACTAGCAAGATGTCGCTAGACTTACACTGGGTGATAGGCACGAGGGATTCATTATTACATTCCATCTATTTCTGAGTTATTCTGAAATTTTTCCATTATGAAACTTTGCTTTAAATAGAAGAAAACTGTGTTGGCTTAGCAACAGAAGAGCGTACAGATGTTCAGTGAAAGGTGTGAACAAGAATGTTCACAAGAGCATGTTTATAACAGCTGCCATCTCTGTCAATGGAAGGATAAAGAAATGGTGGATGTTCACATGTAGCAGAACAAATTCATGGATGAATCTCACAGACACAGTACCGCAGTAAAGAAGCCAGACATGAAACTACACACCGTCTGCTTCCGTTCAGTATAAGAATAGGCAAAATCATTTCTACTATTAGAAATCAGAACAGAATAATGGCTTGGGACATAAAGAGCAAAAAGGGAGCCACCTGAGACTTGATTCTCTGACCTTCCTAAGATCCCATGAGTTATCTAAAATGATCTAGAAAATTTCTTTTCTAGTTAAACAACTTTCATATAGAATTAATATTTCTATTTGTCCTGCTTTCTATTGTTTTTCTCCTTTTTGAATAATTATTGTTTTCCCCTCTAGTGCTGGAGCTGGAACCCAGAGCCTTGTTCGCATGCTAGGCAAGCACTTTGCTCCTGAACTACATCCCAGCTCTGTTTTTTTTTTTAAATGATCGAGTTTTTTTTTAAAATAAATATATATGTATATATATTATATATACATATATAATATATATACGTATATATAATATAAAAATGTATATTTTAGTTGCAGATGGACATAATATCTTTATTTTTATTTATTTATTTTTTTATGTGGTGCTGAGGATTGAACCCAGAGCCTCACACATGCTTGGCGAGTGCTCTACCACTGAGCCATAACCCTGGCCTGAGTTTTTCATGTTTCTTTTTACTTTCTTGGAAGTTCTACACCTGTGTCTATTCTTTGAAGCTTTCCCTTAAAATTTTAACATGTGCATAAACAAAGTATAAACTTAATTCTGTTTCCCTTTAAGCCATAGGAAAGGCTTTGGATCCCTTTAATTATAGTTGCCCCTTCTGGTTTTAGATAATTTTATTATCCAGTATTTTTGTTGGCTTTTAAAAAGTATATTTATTTAGTTATCTATTTGTTACCAGGAATGTTTAACCACTGAGCCATATTCCTGGTCCTTTTTATTTATTTATGTATTTGAATCAGGGTCTCACTAAGTTCTTAAGGCCTCACTAAGTTGAGGCTGGTTTTGAACTTACGATCCTCCTGCCTAAGCTCCCAAACTGCTGGGATTACAGGCTTGTGCCACTGCACTAAGAACTACCCCCAAGTCAGACATCACTGCCATCATCATCAATTCATGTTTTTATTAAGAAGCCTCTCTTCCCCTAACTGAGGCACACACCTGTCATCCTAGCAACTCATGAGGCTGAGGCAGAATGATCATAAATTGGAGGCCAGCCTGGGCAACTTGGAGAAACCCTGTCTTAAAAGGGCTGGGGATGTAACACAGTGGTGAAGTGCCCCTGGTTCAATCCCTAGTACAAAACAAACAAAAACAGCAGTAGCAGTCTCTCTAGCCACTTCCCTGGGGCCACTTTCATTCTCTGAGTTCATCTTTTAACAAAGTCCCACTGTTGCTCAATCTGAGTGTCCTTTCTTGTGCTGGGTGGCCATCCCAATCATGGGGCTGTGATGAGTTTCAAAGCTGCTTCACCACCCACACTTCTCTGAGGTCCAAATATTCCCAAGACAGAGTTGGCCTCAATCAAGGCCTCCACTCCAGCCAGCTGGGCTCAGTCCTTCCTGCAGCCCCCATGTTCTCTTCCCTGAACTCTGGGCACACCTCATGCTGTCCACTCCTGCAGTTTCTCAGAGTCCCTCAGATTGCCATTCCAGGCCTGGAGGCCTCTAGCCCTACCTTTCTAGTTTCCTTCCTCCCTGACACAATGCCTGCTTTTTTTCAGACCCTGGAACTTTTCCTCCGGGTTGGGTGGGGGGCACAGAGAGAAACAAAATAGCCCTTCTGTGCCAATATGTGCTCTGCCTTGGGGAGTTTTTAAGGATGGGTTTCCCAAATCATTGATTTGTCAGCTGTGGCCACAATAAGAGGGGGAACAAGAAAGCTGAGGGCAGATGGTCAGCACTTCCTGCCGAAGCCCTCTCAGCAAGGCAGGTGTGGGTAGACGGCAAATAGACCTTGATGGCCAATGCCAGCCTATGGCAGACATAAAGCAGGCTGGGGGACCCATGTGGAAAAGGATGGCACTTGGGGACTTCAGAGAGGAGACCAGTGAGGAGAGGCAGGGAAAACAGAAGTCCAAGAGCTTCAGGGGCTGTCAGAAGGAACTGCTGAAACAGTGTGGTGAGAAGGCCTGGGGACAGGGAGGACCACTTCAGAGATGGCAGTTTTGGGTCTTCCCCCCACACACACATGCCCTCCCGCCAAGGATCCACAGCCCCTTGAATTCCCAGAGGACAATGGAAAGGATGCATATCGTTGTCTGCAGCTGGGTTCCTATAGGGGATGCACGACCCCAACAAACTGAAAGAAGTTCCAGCAGGACAGTTCCCTGCCCTCCAAGTGCTCCCAGCCACACACTCCAGCTTCAAAGTGCTAAAGAGGAGGATGTGTCCCCAGACATTCTGATAATGCCTTAGTAAATGAATACTGCTAAGTATGTGGAACTTGATGTCAGTTGTAGAGTCCACCAGACACCCCAACTTTCTTTCTGCATACTGACCACAGATCACAGAGTGCCTGTCACCTGGTCAGCAGCAGGCTTTCCCAGCAGGCTGAGCCCAAGCCAGAGCCTTGAACATTACCAGCTGTTTTTGCCCAAAACACTGAAAGCCGGATTCTTTAAACCCTTCCATACACTCCTTTGTCCACTCACTCACTGAGGACAGACCCGGTAGTGAGGTGGCAAAACCAGACCTGACAAAATGAAATGATAAGAACACTATCTTGAAAAACCTGGGGAAAGGGTCAGTTCAGCCTTTCTTCAGGAAACCTAATTAACCACAGGTGCCTACTTTTGGACTGTAAATAACTGTCTCTAGGAATCTGACTACTCCCT